AAAAGCTAAGTACGAAAAAGCCAGTAATGTAACAGTGCTGAAAAGACGGGTAAAGAAGTGAACTACTATGGTAGGAAAAAGGTTACAAGCATAGAACAACAAAAAATACTAATGCAAGTGTCAAAGCTCCGAAGTGTAAAAATCACAGATCTTTCAAACTCTCCAAGTATCAATTCCAAAACAACTGACATCCTCTTAACAAACAAACAATCAAATCCAAAACTTTTGGGTAGCCTTGTTTATAAAGACTTGGTTGTAAGACCCGTTACTCGGCAACTTTCGTAGGAAAGCATTAAGCCTGATCTTAGGGGAAAGTTTTAGGTAAAATTGACGTAACTCCTAACTCCCAATTAAAACTCCGGCCACTTCTAATAGAAGTCGTAAGTCCGATATCTGAGGGAAGTGTTTAGGTGATAATACAAACCTAGACCCCTCAATTGGGCATCCTAGTCTATAGGATTAGGTTGTAAGACCAACTTTCGGGCAACTTCTTACTGAAGTTGTAAGCCCCCAACATTTAAAAAAATTACTAAACAAATTGTAACGAACCTAAAATCCAAATAATCAAAACTTAAACCTATGGGCATCTTAATCTAAAGGATTAAGTTGTAAGACCCGCTTTTCAGGCTACTTCCTAAGGGAAGCCATAAGTCCTATCCAAACAATTAAAATTCTTGGGCATCTTAGTCTAAAGGAGTAGGTTGTAAGACCCACAACTCGGGTCGCTTAGCTTACAAGGCTAGGTCGTAAGACCCACCGTTAGGCAACTTCTAAGAAAGCCATAAGACCTATCCAACTAAAATTCTTCGGGCAACTCCTAATCGGAGCCGTAAGCCCCAAAACTAAATAAATTACCGGGTAACTCCTAATTGGAGCAGTAAGCCCCATTCTAAATCAATTTCTTGGGCAACTCCTAATTGGAGCCGTAAGCCCCAAACTAAATAAATTAACGGGTAACTTCTAAGGAAATAGTAAGCCCCAACTCAAATTAAATAAAAATTAAAATCCACACCTAATCACTTCAGTCTACTTAGGATCCCTGAGAGGAGGCAACCCATGGCTGCTAATCAGATTCCCTGGACACTACGATCAATGATTGTTAGTGTTGGTAGATTGGAACTACGGTATACCCGGGACGACGGAACCATGGGATCTTGATCGGGTTTACCTTCATCTTTCCCACAATTGAGACTAAAAATTTAGAAATTTATTCATCCTTAATCGAGAGTTCTCTCTTACTTGTTAAGAGGGGTAATTAACAATGAGTGCTTGCGCTCATAGAAAGTAAGAACCCCAGATCTTTAAACCCTGACACTACCCTCAGGGGAAATCTGGTTAATTTCAATCTGATTTAAGGTAAATGAAATCCTACGGCTGCAAAGCGGGATTCATGCACTCGTGCCATTTTTCTTGAGCCAACACTCCTTTAAAAACCTTTTGTTTTTCTTTGGATGACCAATCTTCGTCACAAATGGGTATCACGGTAACTCTGTTTATTTCACCTGAATATCTCAAGTGTCTTCACTTCTAGATAGATATATATTTTTAACATATCAAGCTAATTATGTTTATAAAATTTTTAACATAAGCTATAATAACTAACACCTTAGTTTCAAGCTGCAGACAGTATATATTTACATATGAGACTTATAACATAAAGCATTTTGCATGTACATGATCTCTCCAATAAATCAACGTTAATGTTGAGGTCACCATTAAGAAATTGCAATTTAAATTTATTAATGGGTTGGACATTCAAATTTCGAGCCTTATTCAAGAGCTTCCCCAATGCTTCTATGATTTTCTTTGTCAAAATAGTTTTTATATTCGATATAGTGTTGTATTTATTAAAAAATATTTTTGTATTGTGTACCCAAAATATTTCAACAAAATAATCGTTGGATAGGAGCATGCACACTTTATAACATTATTAAAGTTATTAACAATACCGGTTGTTATTAAATTGTTTTGATTAATAGAGAAGAAAGCATAAGCCTATTACTCAAAAATCAACTTTTTTTATATAAGTAGCTATGGTTGGATTCTTAATGTATGTTTTGTCAAAAAGCCTAGAAATCTCATTTCTTCTTCAAGCCTTAAAAATCAATTGTTATTCTTAATGATAGCTATTGATTTTAAATTTTGTCATTATATTTCTTATCATATGATGAGTGCAAGCTATATGATGTACCCTGAAAATAACAGATGAAGCAGTGGCAATACTGTTATGTCTATCAATGATGAACATCAAGTTTTACATTATGCCTAATGACTCTCTCAACCTATTCACAAAATACGTAAACGACTCATTATTTTTGAGTCGGCTATTGTAAAAGCTACTTAATAAATCTGGGCATTGGCATTTTGTGCCACTACCATGAGCAATATCTCCGCATTGTACATTCAGAAGTATTCCATCAGTACTTAATGTTGGACGACGTATGTGTGAAACTCCTTAATTAAAAGAAACTAAACTCTTAAACATTGAGACATCCTTTGGTGTAATGGTTGAAATTTCATTAAGAAAATTCATAGTTAAGCGTGTTCTTCCCGAAATAATTTTGGAATGGGTGATCTACTGAAAAATTACACCAACGAGACAAATTCATGTGGCTCTTAGGCCAAAGCAGACAATATCTTGATAGTTAAAGAGTTTAAGCTATTACAAATGGTATCAGAGCAATACATTAGTCGGAAGATGGGACCTAAGTGCAATACAAGATAAAGTGCTACGTCATATGAGCCACCTCTTAAACACTGTATGGGACAAAGTACTACATGACGGGCTTGTTGTATGATAGAAAAGTTTGCCTCAAACTTAAGGGAAAATCCTATAAGATGGTGGTGAGACCTACAATGCTTTATGGTGCCGAATGTGGTCATTAAAAGAGAAGCATTTTTTCTTTACATTCCAAAATAAAGAGAAGCATGGATACTAAGTTAAGTGTTGCAGAGATGAAGATGCTCAGGTGGATGAGTGGCTTTATCCTCAGAGATAGAATACAAAATGACCATATACATGAAAAGGTTGGAGTAGCTGCAATGGAAGATAAGATTAAAGAGAATCGCTTTAGATGATTTGGTCACATAAAACAGCGGCCTTTCAATGACCCGGTTAGAAAAGTAGAGGTATTAGATTTGACTTATGTTAAGAAAGGTAGAAATAGATCTAAAAAGACTTGGTTAGAAAATGTTAGAAATGATCTTTCTTTATTAGATTTAAACGAGAATTTGAATTTTAACATGACACAATGGAGAAGAAAGATTCATGTACCCGACCCTACGTAATGGGACAAAGGCTTGATGTTGTTATTCATACTTTTTTAAATATTAATTTATCCAGAGCCTAATATATTCAGACCATTAATTTTTCTTTACAGGTGGACGGTGGATTGGGTCCTTCAACCATTGATGCGGCAGCCGCTGCAGGAGCAAACTGCATTGTAGCTGGAAGCTCAGTCTTTGGTGCTGAAGAGCCAGCTCAAGTTATTTCAGCTCTTCGGCAGAGCGTTGAGGGAGCTCAACAAAGCAAATAGCTTGGTTTGCAATTTATCAATGCATATAATAGAAAAACCTTTATTTTTTTATAAGAAAATAAAATAATAGTTTTTCGACTTCTTTCAAATATATGCATAATAATAATTAGGTTATTAATGTCTTTAACTTGGCTGTTTTTCCAGGTAATGTTGAGTAATATGCTATTGTTTATGGTTATTTAAATAAAATTTACTTTTTTTGGCCGCTGCCATTTTTTCTTTTCTCTTTTTTTTTTTCCTGAAGTTTTCTATTAGAAACTGAGAATGATGGAAATAACCTGTTACCCTAAATTTTCCTAGTTAGTAAAATTGGTTTGCTTATCTTCACTGGATTTTTTTTGGGACATTTAGGCCATTTAAGGCAAACTCACAGACACAACGCATACACAAAGACTCGAACCTTGGACCTCTTAGTTGGAAGCCTAAGCTCTCAACCAATAGGCCAAGGAGAGTTGTGTTATCTTCACTGGATTATTGTATAATTTTTACCAACAGACTTGCCAAGTATGGCGTCACAATGCTTTCAAAGATAGTTTCTTTGAAATCCGATTTGCTTATCTTCACTGGATTATTGTCAAGGATGCTGGAGTTACTCAGCTGGAGAGTTCCCCAAAGAAAGGAAAAATTATTCTGCGCGGATACTAGACGCCGTTCATAGACGAATCAGGTCACATCACGTCACTTTTTTATTTTGTATCAAGTGACGTGACACATTATGATTTACCTTCAAACGGCCTGGTGTCTGCACAGAATAATTTCTCAAAAGAAAGTAATTCATGAAGGTTATTTCTAGCCAAGCATAAAGATGTTGCCAACATTGCTAGAAAGTATCAGGAATGCTAACTCCATTATAGGAACTCCATCTAATCATCCAGTTTTTGGTTGCTTGTCATATGAGGAAAATTCAGTTCAAATTGGCCTGGTCCATTCATTGTAAAAGATGTCAGAGGACCCAAGGTTTTATAAGCTATAAGATAGTTCCAGAAACTACTTAGGTCAATTCTTTGTGCCAAGCATGAAAATGAAGATGCATGAATTGCCACGTGTATGATATTTCAGGAGAACATATATAAAATTTGCATACATACTCAATACTAGTCTTGCATAAAACTATTTATAGGGAGTTTCATAACATTATTTTAAAGAATTTAATGAATTGTAGCCAATTTCAAAAATATTGCATACTTCATAAAAATATTTAAATAATGCATAGATACAATTACCTAATGAAAATATACATTTTTCTGTCAAAATTACCAAAATATTCTATTATACCATATATAAAAAATTGCACGTTAAAATTTTTCAAACTTAATAAAATCACATAAAACTCTAAATCTACTTGTACAAATTCTTTGTTTTTTTTTTTCTTTATTTTTTTAAAATAAATTTTCTCGACATTATATTTCTTTGATTTTGTGAAATACCAATTATGATGTGATTTGATTGATTAGATCATGCATGGAGCTTAAAATAACCCAAAATAGCTCAATTAGATCATGCCAAGAATCAACATCCTATAACTAATATAAAACAGCAGCACGCAACTGCTTTGATTGACAAAATATACCAAATCATCACAACTTACTTTTTGCCCCTTCTCCTCTTAGGAGTTACTGCCAGTGCCCTGGAAGCACTCTTTCCTTCAAGCCTTTTAAGATCTTTTCTCACCATGACACTGGCCATGCCCTTGCGAGCTACAGCTTTTCGATCCACTCTTCGGTTGAGAAGCTTGCGATCAAGAGGCCAATACGCATAGGGCTCCAGCTTGCCTTTCTTCCTCAAATCACCACCAGCTTTTTTGCTGGTGTATTCAACACCTGTGTAAGACCAACCAGACTCCGTCTTCTGGCGCTTCCTCTGGGAGCTCAATAAAGATTTTCTTGACATGCGGCTACTTGTTAAGCTTCTTGTATCAGAAACAGGATCTGAAGAATTTCTCTGCTGCTTGGGTTTGACACAATCATCGCGAACAATGAGACGGCCATCATTATCCATTTCTGGCTCGTCGTCGCAAGCTTCCACTTTCCTATTGGGCTTTGATGTCGACAGAAGAATCGATCTGGTCGTCCTTCGATCCAATAAGTCGAGTGGATCAACATCTGACTGATCTAGAAAGTCTTCTGGCAAGCTCTTCTTAATAAATAACTTGCGCATTCGGCTGGAACTAAAAAAAAAAAGGCAATTATGAATTGAAGCAACATTGTTATTAGTCATTTTCATTTCATTTGCTAAAAAACATAATTAGTGGTTCAGATTTGTCATCCCTCAGCTAAAAAACTTGTAGGAAAAAAAAGGCAGAGCAAACGCAAACCTTAATGAAGCTCTGGAAGCATGAAAAGAGGTCCTGGTGCGTGCTACTCCATTTTCAATATCACTTCCTTCCCCTCCATCCTCATCTCCAACATCAGAAAATATGCGGGTATGATTCCATCTACTGTGCCTAACAAGTGGTTTTGATAAAATAAGTACCAAACTAGAGCATGAGCAACAGCGGTGAAAAACTTTGTATTAGCTTGTGAAATAATCTACAATGCACTTAATTTATATTAGCTACCTAACGAAGCATTAAAATTTAGTGAATCAAGGGTAAACTATAAAATCATTAAAGCATGAATGAGCAAACTTGGGGTTCTTTTCAATTCTGATTTACAGCTACGTTGTGTTCTTCCACTTATGCTCATTTGGATGACAGCTTAATATTTCCTTCGCTAAAACTGCGTAGCCAAAAACAAAAAAAACAAAATCTACAGCAGTTGATCTTTCATCCTCCATTTTCGATGACCCGATTACATGGGCACCCTTATTAATCACAAATACAATCACAGTATCTTATATATGCCATGCCGCCAATCACTTGCAATCAGATGCTCCACCATTGCACAGCCTCATCCAACCGTTCAAATTGCCCTATGCCCCACGCACCCATTGCTCAATACACCAATCATCGGCAACCAAGTTATCATCGGCAGCGAAATCTTCCACCACAACACATCGAAGGCACATCTGCTCATACTACAGAAAAACGGTTCATGATCTTCTACCTCCTGCAGCTGTGAACCCGTCGTTCACCACTCTAGTATCTCACCGGCAAAAAGTTCCCTCACTAATCCCCAAGATCTATGGAACTGCAATAGAACACTTGAACTTCACTTTTGTGTTTTTTAAATGATCTCCTTTCTATTATTTTTTACAATATAGAATTGTGTTTACAGCTAAAAGCATGCATAAGAAGAGCATGAATTGATATTATATTTATACAATTTTAGAACTTCATCTCATTAATTATAGTAATTTTAAGTGATTATTCGTCATTATTTTGATTTTTTACCCTTCGAAGCATATAAAAAATGCTATAAATACCTGCAACTAAACATGTAAATTCCACTTTTGATAGAAACAATAAACCAACAAGTCCACTACAGGCAATATCAACAATTTTAACACTAGTTTTCCCAACTTCTCCCATAATTGCTTAACACCTTGCTTTTCAGAGAAAACATTCGTACTAAACAAAACCCTCATACACTCCAATACTATATGCAGCAAAGGAAGTTCAACTAAAAAAAAAACATAGGAAGATAACCTACATGCTTTAACAGTCATTCCATAAAATCAGCAGCTCTGATCATAATTTCATTCATTAAAAAAAACTTACTGATATCTTCCATATGTTACAAAGCATCCACTAGAGGCAAGACTGATCCATAGTTTAGAAGCGTACAAAATAAAATCATTTATATACTGAGGGCTTTTACAGGAAAGTGATCATGTTCATTGATGTAAATTTTTAGTTCTCATTTGTTTCCAATACTTTAATCATGCATATACTAATTAGTGAAATTGATTCCCAGTTAGGGGTACCACAACGTAGTTCAACTGATTCACACCTGAGAGCTCAAACCTTCACTTGTCTATGAGTTAAGGATAATGCATCTTCAGTTCAACATTAAAAAAAAAGGCATTTTTGAATTATACTTCTTACATGAGGATAAACAGTTTGTATCAAATTGTACTAATTTCAGTTAAAAATCTATGACCTATTGGGTTACAGCAACAACATATTTTTTCCTTGCACGGCAGCAGAAAACCAAGAAAACAAAACAAAAATAAAGTAGATGAATCAATTGATACCTATCTAAAAGCAAACAAATTTAACATTAACTGCAAGTGCAGAACGCATTTATATTCTGATTGCAATACCTGGAAACACTTGTTCTTGAGTACAACGAATTAATATCTTCCTGAGATTTACCTTTCCTTTCTTTTCGCTCCTTAATCTGACATCAAGATTAGACAAATTTGAAACAAAAAAAAAAAATCAAACAAAAGTGATGCAACGATATGATAAAGCTCTTTACCTTGCGAATGTTTTTGAGAAGTTTAAGGTGTTCTTCAGGCATTACTGCCTTAACAGCATTTACACCACATTTACTCACAAGCATCTCAATAAGAGATTTAATCTGGCAATAAAAAACAGAATAAATACGTGTGGATGGATTTAGAAGGAAATAGGTCATAATATAGCATAGCCAAAATATTGTGCGAAGTTGCTTGTTAAGATCAATATCTCATGTAACAATCATCGATATGAATTAAGGAGACTTCATAAAGCGAAATCCCAAATAGAAGTGTGACAATGCTCATGATGATGAACAAAAAATAAGAACTAGCAGCATTTTATATAAGTTTTTACTTTCTTCAATATACATCACTCTTTTGACAGTATAAAATGAAAAATTGTATCATATAACATGGATATTAGTTGAGTTAAATAAAATGGACTTTATTCATTTGCTTGGTGCAAAATGAGGCCTTGTTTCTCACGAAAAAATATACATGCTTGTTGTGTCTAACAAGGTTGTGGATCTACTCATAGAAAGGAGCCATTAAGAGGCTTGCATGATCAATAAGAAGCTCCACAGGCTTGAAACAATAGGCTGATAAGTAATGCTCCAGATGAGTGAAACAAAAAATGAGAAAAAGAAGAGGTCAAAGGAAAAAAAGAGAAGATAAAATATGTTATTACTTCAGAGTGGATAAATTTTAATCACAAACTACGAGGTGTGGATATTTATAGTTAAAGATTTACATTGATGTCAGCAAGTTTTAAATTTAGATCAAAGGATCACAGTAATCTAGATGTGCACTTTCATATAATATGTAACCTCCATAAACTCAAAGAGACATTCTTGACAATTCAAGAAGTAGCACAGGAATGAAAATCAATACGTAAACTATACATTTTTTTATTAAGGGTGAAAAAGTTTAGAGTTGCATATTTTGTAAGAAGCCAATGAATTTCATTTAAAGTATCATAACAATCAATTTCTAATTAAGGATATTAAAAATACACAGCATGACACACTCGTGCCAGGTAAGAAAAAAGAAACTGGGAACATAGTCAAATTCTAAAAAAAAATGCTTCCTTTACCATGGCATATCAATATCCAATATGTATCTAATCTACATGGACCACTGATGCTTATTAAAATGTCATTTGGACCATACATTAATACATAAACATAAAATTAAAAGAAAAAACACTCCCTCTAAATGGGTAAATAGGGATGACTGCATACGTTCATGACCCGCCCATTTTATTCTGAAAGATCAGTTACTAATCATCATTTATGGTGTTTAGTTGTTGTGTTTACAAGAAAATACAATGTTATGAATTTATGATTATTTTAAGAATAGAAATATATTCCAAAATTTTTTGTTGATTTTAAGTAGAACATAAAATAACTTTTGTATTTTATTTTATAAGTAGGACACAAGGCCAATCCAAGACTCATTAACTCGACACAGGGAGAAGTTTATAGCAAACCAAAGTACTTTAGTCTCAAACTTAATACCTCTAAACTAGAAACCAAGAAGCATATCACTCGAGATAGAGACCATTAGGGCTCCATGATTATGATTTAATAGATCATTTTAAAAGTCGTACACAACTTGGATCTTGAGAACACACCAGCCTAAAATATAATCAAAATTCAAATCATGGGTCCTCATTTATAGAGATGTGGTTATAAGAACATGGCCTAAGAATGCATTGTAGGGCTCTTAGATCAAGTTTAATCTTTTTGGGAAGGAAGTTTATTAGGAATGTGGAAGTTAGGGTAACTTTTAATAAAATTTCAAAGCATTCAACTTAAAGAGAAGAGCCCTAGTCGCCTCAATAGATGAGAATTTCTTCTTTTTGCGACCGCACTTTGTTGTGGGGTGCCTGCATAAGATGATTCATCTATAATGCCCTTTCATGAAAAAAAAAAGATAACAAGGCTTGATTACAATACTCATTCTCATCATTATATATAATACATTTATTATTAATGCTAAATTGGATTAAGATCATTTTATGAAACATGGGGGATTCAGTATTGCACTCACATGGAAGTTATTTTTCACAAGAAAAAGCTTAGTTGTGTGCAAACAATTGTCAATGAAAAAAACAAATTATTTAGACCAATTAATATTAGTAACACAAAATAGACCTCATACATCAATATGGATCAAGGAAAAGACATTCAAGTTTTTGAGTGACTTATGGGATAGCATACTCTATTCTGTTTGGCCATTTGACGCACCTCACACTCATACTGATGTGATACAAAGGTGTGAAGAGTTGCTTATGTGATACAAAGGTGCGAAGAGTTGTAACAATAAAGATTGAATTTATTTTTTGCTAATTAGTAACTCGTGCTTCAATTAAAATAAATTCTTAGAACTTTTCCATTGAAAGAGTAAATAATGTTAAGCCGTTACAAGAGGTTAACAAAACAGTTGCAAGAACAACAAAATTTAAATAGTAATTTTAATAGCTAGCAAACAGAGATCCACAGTGTAACATCTAGACATGGTCACTTAGAGTTCCTACTCACTCAATCACTCTTAGGCTTAACGGTTGAAGATGAAGCATACGATGAGAGAAATTGCCACTAGGAAGATAGTACCGAAGGTCTTCGTTGACGGAGAGGTAGCCACGGACGGAGAAGGGGTAGATCTCCCAACGAGAAGCCAAGGCGTCTTAGGCTTTTGAAGATCAATCATCTCTACTAAGCAATAGAGGATGCGCTTGATGTATCTTTCCACAGTCTCGTCGTATTCCCAATCGGGATCGTAGAAAGGAGGGAGAAGAATGTCAATCTCCCCACGATCATTGTAGGCGAAACCGTGATCAACTTCGGGATCGGCCATTCATCATAAGCATGAAAAGGAAGGTACACAAGGAGGAAGAAAGAGAGAGATGGCGGTGGGGAGAGCTCGCGGCTTTAGAACAGGGAAGAGGGGAGGGGCGGCGGGTTCAAGGGGAGAGAGGGTTGGGGTTTCGACTAGAGGAGATGGGTTTAATTTCAAAACTGAAATTGATTTCAGTTTTGAAGACTTTTTGAGAGAATTAATTTGAAAATTGATCTCAAATTAATGGGTAATTAATGCATTAATTGGGGTGTTAATGGGGGGTGGGGGAAATCCATGCTTGGGCCGACGACATGGGGAGAGGGAGGAAATTTGGGGAGGTGTTTAGGGAGGTTTCCAAACAGGGATTATGAATTAGGAAAGTTAATATTGAGTCCAATCTATTTTGAATTTAGATTGATGTCATGACTAACTTTCCTATTTAGGAATTCTAAAAATGGAAAGAATTTGAAATTCAAATTTTGAATTTCAAATGAAATCAAATTTTCCCTCTCATGCTTAGCTAAATTAGGAAATCATTATGAAATCATCATAATGTAGAGCAATTATGAGGGAAGGGGGGGAAAGGGGCGGCGGCAAGGGGGAATGGGGCGGGTTGGGGTTTGATTGGTGGGTGGATTTTGAGTGGTGGAGCTAACAGATGATGTGGGTAGAGGGGTTGAGCCGCCGGTGGTGGGAAATTTGGACGTGGCCGGCGATTGATTTGGGAAGGGGAAAGGAAGACGAAGAAGTAAACAATTAAGATAAAATTAAACTAATCACGAGTCACGGACTCTTCCAATGACTGGTGGGCCTTGCAATTGCTCCCCTTGAGCTCACTCTCCCTTCTCTCTAGCTCTCATGCAAGAAAAGACGTAGAAGCAAATAAAATTTCATTACACATTCATCAAGCTTTTACAACACAATGGGCCACTATATATAGGCCTCTCCACATGAAAAGAAAAGTACAAACATGCCCTCTGGGCTACAATGGCATAATACTCCCCATAAGGGTAAAAGCGGAAAAATAACAAAAGCTAAATAAAACATCATGCGTACAACTAGATAAAACATAAAGCGTCAAAAATAAAGACGTTGAATCATTGCCGTCGATCTACGATTCCGTCGCCGATACACGTGTCTGAATCTCTGAGCGATGTCCTCATCATATACTCTTCAAGTTTTATTTTATTGAATAACATAGAAAATATGAATCATAATACAATAAAAAATGGATGACCCATTTGAATATGCTAAAGCCAAATTTAAGCCCTCCTTGTATTCAAAGTTTCAAAAAAAAAAAAAAAAAAGACCGCAGCATGTGATCATTACTACTTGTGCCTGCATAGTTGAGTCTGTTTTTTTTTTTATTTTTACTATTATTTTTACTTAAATATATAGTTGAGTCTGTTTCATTCCTCAACATGTCAAACCATCTTTTTTGTAGTTTCAATCCTAAAATAGACATAAGTAAGATAAAATACTACAATGCAATTTAGGTGGGACGTCAAATTTTTAATTGATAATAAATTCATGAACTCACCTGATTGAGCCATAGACAAATACACATTTATTTATATGTTGTCAAGAAGGTGTAGAGTTTCTTTAATTTTTCTTGCTTTACTCCTTCCAACTCTACGTTAGTTTTTTCTTCCATAAAAGTAGTGTTGGCTTGATGTATCTGAACTGGTTTTGGTATGAACCCTTATTTTTATTGTATGGAGGAATCCCTTGAGTTTCTAACATTTTTTTGATGTATGTTTTACCTTTTTGCAGTAAAGGATTCAAGTCATGATTATTCGACAAATTTTACGCTAGTTGTCGACTACCTAGAAAGCATCCACTTTTTTCATCCAGGACATGGGACCTGGCAACGACAGTGTTAAGTAGAGGAATAGATGGGGATATTATCAATAGAATTCAAGTTGGATTGTTGAAGTGGACGAACGCATCGAACTTGTTGTGTGATAGAAAGTCCCCCTCAAACTTAAGAGAAAATTCTAAAAGATGGCAGTGAGACTTGCAATGCTTTATGGTGTAGAATGTTGGCCATTAAAAGAGAAGCATAATACTAAGTTAAGTGTTGCATAAATGAGAATGCTCAAGTGGATGAGTGGATTTACCCTTAGAGACAAGATACGAAATGAGCATATATGTGAAAAGGTTGGTGCAGCTCCAGTGGAAGATAAGATTAGAGAGTCGCCTTAAATGGTTTGGTTACATAAAACAACGGCCTTCTGATCACCCGGTTAGGAAAGTAGAGGTATTAGATTTGACTAATATTAAGAAAGGTAGAGGTAAACCTAAAAAGACTTTGTTATAAAATATTAGAAAATATCTTTCTTTATTAGATTTAAACGAGAACTTGACAACAAGCGGACACTAGTTGTGATTCACCTTCAAGCTATTGGAAGAACTGAAGCAATGCGGAAATTTTTCTGGACAACAAACGATAATGCTCAGGAACCTTTTTTTATACTAGAGTACTGTAGGAAATATTTAAATTTGTAGGTATTTTCATTGAGGACCTTACACTCCTATTTATATAGCATAATTCTAGATTATACTAGGTAATTTCTATCCATGAAAATCACTAATTACATAGTGATTACATGACAATATTCCTAGGACAAAGTTAGCTGCAATGGAAATAAATGGTGGAAGCAACTGCTTACACGTTGGATCTTAATATTTTTTGTGTTAGATATGTAAATAACATGAAATAAAGTGATATGTATGTAAATTTCTCAAATTTCAATAGGAAGCAAAGTTGGAAGGGCGGTAGCCGAGCAAAAGATGATGAAGCTGAGGAAATCTTGAGAAAGTAGATTGTAGAGGAAGTTGCGGAATTACAGAAGAAGCCAAAGAATTGAAGATGAATAGATTTCTTCTGTCATGGGCATGATCAGCAATGAAGGTCTTTATTCAATAATGGAGCTGGTCCTAATTGGAGAATGAAGCACTCAACCATTTTTGTGGGAACTAATAAGAGGACTACGGACTGCCTAACTGCAGCCCTGGTCCTGGTGAGATGAAGCTTGGAATGGAAGATGGTAAAGGGAAAAAAAAAACTACTGTTTGGAATAGAAGATGGTAAAGGGAAAAAAACACTAGAACAAAGCTGGGATTGGAAGAAGGCTAATGCCAATGACCTTAAGATTTTATAGGCATATCCCATAATCAATTGTCCCAAATCAAGAAGCAGGGAGGTAGCAATTTCAGCATCTTATCCAAAATAATCAAGGGAAACAACTTATAAATACATGTCAGAAAATGTAATTTCCAATAAGTTAATCTAAACCAACCTTTGTAATGTGTGTCCTAACGTAACACGGTGTGCCCAAGATAATAGACCATAACTAATTTATTATACATTATCAAATATAGAAAATCATACCTTTGCTTTAAATTGATTTTTAGTCTCATCTCTCCATTTCAACAAACCTTCAATTATACCCTTCAAATGTGTTTCCAAACCATCAGCTTTAGATTTTGCAACCAATACTTTGATCAAACCTAAATTAGCCTGTGATGAGAAACATTTCAAAAATTTGCAGAAATTTCTTTTTAGCAAATATGCGGCCAGAGGATACAAGCACTTATTTATTAGACAATGACCTAAGAAAAACATTTGATATGAAATATAACAAGGAAAAGCAAGGTTACTTTGACTATTTCACGATTTTTCCTCTGTAATAGGAGAAAGGAAGATGGGAGCAACTTGTAGGCCGAACTTATGAGATCAGAAAACTCATATGCCAAGCGAGCTAGACCTTTGATAGCAGCACTGACCATATGTGGTCTTTCACTAATCAGACCTCCAGCAACCTGAAAGGTCAGCGAAATGAATATTTTGTTAGTTATAGCAATTACAACTTTTGACAACACACTCATCTCACTAATAAAGAAAATAACTCAGCTCAAAAAAAAATTCAGGTATTTGCACGACTTGAAGTCTAATCAGCATGAAAGCTGTTCTAAAACACTTATGGCAACTGAACTTAATATCCCAAAGTCTGAAGTAACCTAATTAAAAGTTAATTCTTATATTTACATTCACTTATTATTCATGATTAAAACTAAAGCTTCTACTTTTAATTAAATCAAAACTAAGAGAATCTCCTTGAAGAAAATTGAATTGCAACATGTCATGGTGAGCATCGCAGCCTTTGCTATGGAGTGAATCATACTATTATCTATTATGGCATATGCCAGTTATTTTCCCTTAAGTTTAAGGGGTGCTTTCTCTCACACAACAAGATGCATTCATCCACTTCAACCATCTAACTTGAATTCTACTAATATGTTTTAGATCCAAGATATCTAAAATGTATACTCTTATTAATGATTTGATCACCCAAAGTCACAATCCCCCCACTGGATATATTACTAATAAAATTATACTCCAAGTATTCGGTTTTAGATCTACTCAAACGAAAATCTTTAGACTCTAAGGTTGACCTCCATAATTCAAATTTGCCATCCAATCCCTCTCTAGTCTTATCAACAAGAAGAATATCATCAGCAAAAACCATATACCAGGGTACATCCTCTTGCAAATGTCTAGTAAGAATGTCTAGTAAGGACATTCATGACTAAAGCAAAAAAATATGGGCTTAAGGATGATCCATGATGTAATCCAATTGAAATAGGAAAATACTTGGTCAAATCACTTTGTGTTTGAACACAAGTAATAACTCCTATATACATATCCTTAATGACTTGAATATAAGCATTATTAATCCCTTTCTTTTCTAGAACTCTCCATAACACTTATCTTGGAACTTTATCTTATGCTTTCTTCAAATCAATAAATATCATATGCATATCCTCCTTATTCTCTCTATACTTCTCCAACAAATCTCTCAATAAATGTATAGCTTCTATAGTAAACCTACCCGACATGAATCCAAATTGAATTTGAGAAACATTAGTGATGCATGACATATATGAAAATTTGATTTAGATAAGGATTTTGCATGCTTATTGAGTAAGAGCTTTATGATGATTCAAACAATGGAATAAAACCAAAAAGTGGTAAACATAAGCTTAGGCCAAGTTACTCACGAAAAGTAAAAAACCTCATAATAATCAATTACTCTTGGCATTGCATACGAGATGGGTTTCAACAAGAAATCCCTAATCTAACAATAAGAGTAGTGCTATGAAAGATCTCTCAAACAATTCCTACTAAATACTAATCTTTTAGCGGAGCTTGGCAAGATTTTGCATGAATCAAATAAAACCACAAGCGATGATCAACGAAGGAGGTAAGCGAGAAGGAAAGAGTTCACCATTTGCTAAGATTCAACCTTCTCGCAAGCTTGGACCGCAGGTGGTGGCGTCTTGACGGCTAGGACAGTAACAAATCCATGCTCGAACCTTTGGATAGCAAGTAGCAAACCTGGGACAGCGATTCAGAATAGTTCCGGGCAGCAACGGTCGCACCCAGATGGGCTGGACAACAGAGAACTGCTTCGGGAATCTCTAGATAGCAGATACGTGGTCTTGAGAAGATCCTGGACAGCAGTTTACTGTGTCTAAACTTCAGGACAGCAGGTATAATCTGTCCAGAATGCAGAAATCAACCGATATTCCTCTGGATAGGGGTGGAATGGGCTGGACTTCTTGGACAGCAGACGTATCTTGTCCAGAGTTCAGGACAGCACATCACAGCTTCAGGAAATAGAGGTAAACCATGAAGATGAAGGTTTGGGGGAGGAGGCTAAGGCTAAGAAGGCTTAGGGGATTAAATGGAATTTGAATTCTTTCCAATCATAGATGATTAAATTTGGAAAGAGATTTAAAGGGAAATCTCTAATTAAATTTAGATTTGGGATAATAGGAAAGTTTCCAAATTGAATCCGTCTTAATTTAGGAATGGATTCAAATTCAAATAAATTTGAATTTGGAGTTTAAAAACTTTCCAAATTTAAGAGGATCTAAATTAGGTAAGCTCCCAATTCATTCCTTAAAGGAGTCTTGGGAGAAAAAGGTGGGAAAGGGGGCCGGTGGCATGGGGGGCAAGGGAGAGTTTATGGAAGCATTTAATGCCTTCTTGATTTAAGAAATTAAATTTGGAAAGAAATATCTCATCCCAATTTAATTTAAAATTCAAATAGGAAGTGATTTGGAAACTTTCCTAAAATAGGATTTATATTTTAGGTAATAATTTCAAATTCAAATATATTTGAATTTGCACTTATTTGAGTTACCTAAAATGTAGAGTTAATTTAGGACAGGTGTAATGCCATTGATGAGGAAGGGAAAGGCAAAGTGGCGGCCGGCAGTTTGGAATAGGGTTTGGTTTAGGGTTTGGTGGTGGGAGTTGGCCAGCAACAAGGTGGATTGTGGTTAGGGAATCCGACGGCTAGGAGGTTGGGGATTGGATGGGGATGTTGGTGGCTTAATGGGGAAGGGGGAAGGGGGAAGGGAAAGGAAAAAAAAGAAACGAAAGAAAGGTAAAGGAAGAAGAACCACGAACCTGGCCGTCTCTAAGGTTGGTGGGTGATCCGATTTTCCTCCCTAGGGATTTCTCCTAAGCTCTCTCCTAGAACTCTCACAACTCTCCAAAGAACACATGTGCAGGAATTTTCTTATAATTCATTCATTAACCCTCCAAGAAAAAGAGGGAGGCTTTAAATAGCCAAATACATGAAAGAAAATAACAAAGACACTATTGCCCCTAAGGCTGTAAGACATAAAAGTGACAGTAGAAAGGGAAAATGAACAATAACAAATCAAATACATAAGATAGATCAAAATAAATAGGCACGATCGTAGAGGTAGATCTTTGATGTCCTCATCAATTAGTATCACAACGTAATTTATGCTCCATAACTCTCTCCCAAAATTTTAAAGTACGACACCTCAACTTATATCCTATATAATTCGCACAATCTTGTGCATCACCTTTATTCTTAAAAATAGGAATTCACACTCATTCTCTACTCATCTGGCATCTTTTTAGTCTTCAAAATAATATTAAAATTTTAGTAAGCCAAGAAATTCATTCATAACCTAAGCATTTATACGCCTATATTGGAATATCATCATGTCCAATAGCTTTTTCACACTTTATTTTCTTAAAGCCTCTCTAACTTTAGTTTTATTAATACGCTGATCAAAATAAAAATCTCAATTTTCATGAGTGCTATAGTCACTAAAGTCAATCGTATTCTCACAATCTTCATTAAAAAGCTTAGCAAAATATCTCATCCGCCTTTGTTAAATATCCTTTTCTAAAAAAAATACTTTTTGATTTTGATCATTAATGCACTTCACTTGAACTAAATCTTTATAGCTCCTATCTCTTTGTGGATAATCTATACATATATCTTTCGCCCTACCTAATATCTAATATATTATATAAATCATTAAAAGTTAAAATCTTTACATCGCATATTGCTTTCTTAGACTCTTTACGGGTGATGGGAACATCAGAGCTTGGAAAGTCTATCAGAGACATGGCCGTCGATCTATGACCACGATTGAGTCCATGTACTTCTGAGTCGTATTATGTATTTTCTTTATTATTATGTTATGTTGTATTTGCTTTATTACTGTTTCCGTTTTTACCCATTACTTAAGGGAGGTCGTATGTAAGCCTAGAGCGTATCATCGTCTTTTTATTTTCTTGAGTCATTTGTACAAGGCTATATATAGCCCTCTTGTTCTCTTTTCATGTTAATGAATAAATGATAAAATTTTCTCTTGCTTGATTTCTTTGTGAGATCTTGAGAGTGCTTGAGAGAGAAATCCATAGGAGAGGGAAATCGGATCACCCACCAACCTTGGAGATAGCCAGGTTCATGGTTCCTCTCCATTATCTCTTTTTCCTCCCTCTCTAATCTCCTAGCCTCCGGCCAAGACATTCCCAAAACCCTTAGCCGCCGGTCACTTAACTTCCCACCACCACCCGCCGCCTAAACCCCTCCCATCACCCAAACCACCGACTAACCTAACCCCCCACCATAACCCCACCAAAATTCCCTACAAAGCCAACCAAGTTGTCGGCCCCATCTCCCTCCTCCTCCCTCCAAAATTGAAATCCCCTCTTGAATACATTCCATAAATGATTAGAAGGCTTAATTTCAAATTTCAAAACAATTTGAAATTGAAAATTCTTTCCTAATTTAAGGAATCTATTTTAGGAAAGTTCCTAAATTAAATCCTTTTGAATTTCAATTTGATTTGGATTTAATTAAACCTTTCTTAATTCCTAAACCCAAATTAAGAAACCCTCAAATCTCTCCCTTCAATCCCTCCTAACCCCATGATGTCGCCAGGCCCATAAGTAAATCCCTTGGAATTTATTTCCAAATATCCCAAACCCTCTCTTGGAAACCTTTCCTAATTCCTATCCACCTCCTTTGGCCAAAATCTCCTAGGCCCTACTTGTTTAATTTCTTTCCAAAGGAGAATCTATCCTTTTGGAATTAAATTAAAACCCCTCCCTCTCACCCTTGTCGCCGGCCCCTCTCTCTCTTCTCCTCCCTTGATTATTTCAATCAAGGGATCTAGAAGGGAATTGTTTGAATTAAATTTTCCTCCGCTTAAATCTCCCAAAATTTGAACCTAATTTCCCCAAACCTCTCTCCTTGGCTGGCCACCTCCTCTTACCTTCTCTTACTTTGATTCTTGAGAAAAACATCTTTATTTCTAGGGAAAGACGGCAAGGACAGCAAAGGGTCACCTCCTCCAACACTTCAACGCAACGAGATTGATGCATGGCCGATCCCGACCTTGATTACGGCCTTGCCTACGCGAGCAAGGTTTCGTTCACATCCTTCACTCCACTTTATTTGACGTCAATCCGAAAATTGACAACACCATCGAGGAATACAGGGAGCAACTCCAACCTTTTCACGTATATGTTCATTTCGTATCCTATCTCTAAGGGTCAAGCCACTCATCCACCTAAGCTTCCTCATCTCTGCAACACTTAACTTAGTATTATGCTTCTCTTTTAATGGACAACATTCAGCACCATAAAACATTGCAGGTCTCACCACCATCTTATAAAATTTTCCCTTAAGTTTGAGGTCATGGGTATAAAATGATAAATGAAGGTAGTAAGACTATATTAATTTTTTCTTTAGCTTATGATTTCTTAATAGCTAATACTTATTTAAGAAAAGAGATGAGCATCTTATCACTTATATTAATTATTTTCTTATAAGAAAATTAGATCGTTTAGATTGCAAATATTATAAAATTATTATGAGTAAAAATTTATGTACCCAACATCGATTATTAGTTTTAGACTTTAATATAAAGGGGCAAAAAAATAAAAAAAAAATAATGTAAAATAATTTTCTAGGATTAGATAGAGGCATCTAAATAATATTAACAAAAGTATTTTTGAGAGTAAGATTTTAGATCTTAAGATTCTGTCTGTGTATGAGGATGTTAATATTATGTGGAAAAAAGTGGCTATTAATATTAGAATATTGCAAAAGATGTGCTTGGAGTTTCAAAGAGAAAAGCTCTTAATAGTAAAAATAGTTGGTAGTGGAATCCAAATGTGTAAGAAAAGATAAAAAAAAAATTGTTATAAAAATTGGTTTAGATGTAAAAATTCTAATGATTGGGATAGCTATAAAGCGGCTCGTAAAGAATCTAAGAAAGCTATTTGCGATGCAAAGAACTTAGCTTTTAATGATTTATATAATAGATTATATGCTAAGGAGGGGCAAAGATATATGTATAAATTAGCCAAACAAAGAGATAGGAGTAGTAAGGATTTAGTTCAAGTGAAGCGTATTAAGGATGAAGATCAAAAAGTACTTTTCTTAGAAGATGATATTCAACAAAAGTGGATGAGATATTTTGCTAAACTTTTTAATGTAGAATGTGAAAATACGATTGACTTTAATGGCTTTATCATGCTAAATGAAAATAAATATTTTTATTTTTATCGGAGTATAAGTAAAACCGAAGTTAGAGAGGCTTTGAAGAAAATGAAATGTGGAAAAGCTGTTGGACCTGATGAAATTCCAATAGAGATGGGGAAATGCTTAGGAGATAGAAGGAATTTCTTAGCTTACTAAACTTTTTAATACTATTTTGAAGACTAATACCAAGTGGTCATACTTTGTTCATCTAAACCATTCATTGAAACTAATACAACCCTCTATCAATAAACATCAATCTCAAAAGTATGTCTTCAACCCACATATATTTTCACTTTGGCATGGTCGAGATAATTGGATGAGTCAACCCAATAGTTGCTAATCAGGCTATATGGGCGTTACAACCCAATTGAATCGATGGTACACTCGAAATAATCGAATCAAGGGATCTTAATTGAATTTACCTCTATCAGACCAAAAAATTCCCATTAAATAAATTCAAACCTAAATATTAACTCTAAGCCTACAATTGAACCTACATTTAATAATGGGGGATTGTGCCCATAGAAAGTCTCAATCTCAAATCTAAATAAGCACTAAAACAATATTAGAAGAAATTTGGTTAAACCAAACCTGATCCACCTCAAGAAAAATTATTGTTTGTCCCTCACATCAAATTGAGGGGGGCTGAGGAGATGGCTTTTTTAAGTGATTAAGATAAATAAAATAAATAAAAGCATCTTCAAATACACCAAAAAGCATTTTTTTAGCATTTTAATGCACATACGGATTAGTTTGTTCATTGCTAAAAATAAAACGGCAAATCATTGGAACTAGTCCCTAGAGATTTTAAAACAAGACCAAATATATGAAAGATGTTCGATTAGTATTACCATACTAAAAAGTTGGTGCAGGTTTTCTGTTTTACCACCACGCTCTTCATCCCTGCATGCATGTCCGATTTCGACCAACAAATCATATGCTTTATTTCTAGTTTTTTTATTTGTCTGTGAAAAAACGGAAAAAAAAGAGTTAAATGAATACATTAACTACATATATATATATATATATATATATATATATATATTCAAAAAGTTTGACAGTTATTGCAAATTTCTAAGCACTATAAAAGTTTCTTTTTAGTCAACCGGCGGAAGATTTTTTAGAAAGCAAGCATGGGAGATGATAGCCATATGGCCCATATCTGTTATATATGAAGTAATTTGGGCAATTCTTATAAGTTTCTGAGGCAATACCTCTTTCAAGGAAAGCAGTATTTCTGTTAAAAATGCACTAATGAATTCCCTCATCCTTTGCTCTGATGGTGTTTCCTGAAAAGAATAAACAATATTTTCTTTGAAGAAACAAGTACCAAACAAACTGCATTAGAATCCAAGCAGAACCTTGAACAAAAGACCGACCTTAGAAATATGAACAATTACATAATATAAGCAGTCAAGACGGTGGCGTTTTGCAGAAAAATGACAAGATGCAGTTGCCGTGATGATCAACTGAAGCAACTCATCCAACTTATTTGACAAAAATCCATTAGACTCCTAATGAATATAAAAAACAGTCAAATTTTCTATCTAAAATGAAGATACTAAAAATAAGTCATCATAATAATAACAAAGCATTACCTTAAGAATAATTGAAAGAATTTTATATGCTTTTTTCTGCATAAGCCCTTCTTCATCCTGCAAGTGAAACAGAAGTTAGATATCAATTATTTCAGGAATACAAAAAATATGACAATAATTAGATTAATAGTAACCTGGAGTGCGGGTTTAGTAGCACTGAATAGCAGATCAATCTCTTCTTCATCCAAACCGGAGACAAGCATAGCAGCCAATTCTAGCCTAAGAGCCCTGCAATGAGAAATATAAATTTAGATAATCGTGTTAGAGTGACCATCTTTCAGGACCAACAATTAAACATTATAAAATACCTTGCACGTGTCAAAGAAGCTTCATCGGGTAAATTGTCAACTTGCATGGAAGATGATTCCTTAGATTCCTTTAATTTGATAACTTTTTTGGTTACTTTAAGTAGCTCTATCATATTTTTTCTGAAGATTTTTTTTACAGTTGCTCTATCTGATATAGAGGCGAACAAATGGATAGTGGACTGCCAAAAATGAACCATAAACCATAAAAACTCACCATTCTAGCCACTTCAATAAGCAAAATGAGAAAGGACAAAAATTAGAGCGAAGAGGAATAACAATAATTTTGATATAACATAGGTAAAAATAGATTGTAACCAAGTTCTTTAAAGAAGGATGCCAAGTGCACGATTGCCCTGCCATAGTGCAGGGAATAAGGAGGGATAAATGCATACAAAATTAGGCATTTAACCCATCACTGCATAAAATAATTTAATAAAATATATAGAACTTATGCTGAATAAGAAAATAGCATCTTAAGCAAGTGTATACCGCAAGAAAAGACGGAAACCAATTGAAAATAAAATGAAAAGAAAAGACAGAATATTTTGGCTATCAAATAATATTAAAGTTGATAAAATGCAGCAATCACTATATGCAGCTTAGGGCGGCCAAAACAATAAAAGATAGCTAGAGTAACCTCCTCCAAACCTCATCACCGTTATTTAAGAAAACTAATTATCACAAATACCTGCAAGCATCCACCACTATCATTTGGCGCTTCCAAGAAAACCTCTGACAAAACTGACAAAAATTTAGAAGATGATCCCAAAATGTTTAAGTTTTCCCGTGCAAAATTTGCTGTGTAAATTTCCTTAGCTTTCCTCACGGGAAAACTTAGCTCCTCATCTGACATTGCAAATCTTTCCTGGGATGCACTTTTATTTTGTTGAATGAGAATCTAAATGACAAAAAGACGAATTAAATACCACTACAAAATACAATAACCAAATAGATTACCAGTAATGAAATATAATAACTATCAAATAGTTTGCACCTGGAGACCCGAACAGATGATCCCATGCAGTTCAGATTCCTGACGGAGCGTGTTGCACAATATGTATTGAATTTCTTTAAAACTAGTATTTGCATCAACTGGATAGTTGCAAAAGGAAGGGAATAGGGACCACAAGGAATATATAAGGCCTTCTATATTACGAGCTGAGAAAATGCGTCCATCTCTCTCCAGCTGCAGGATGGCATAACACCATTACTTTGGGAAATGAAACTAGCCAAACAATCCATTAAAAATAATTACCTTCAGTGATTTCTGCTTTAAAAGGCTGACCATATCCAAAATGTACTGAGAAAAGAAATGCAATTCAGCGCCAACTGTGTATTGCTTTAAAATAGGAAGTACCCACACATTCCAATCAGTAACATCTTCTGCGTCTAGATTGAGTGGCAACAAGCATAGAAATTTCTCAGGGCCCATCGCAGCAAGTGCTGAGCCAAGGCATTCATGAAACTGCATATTTAATGAACTTAATCCTACTAATGTTTGTTTTGAAATTAAGCATGCAACATAAATAAGCAGAAATCAACAAAAATAAATGGAAAAAGGCATATTTGTGAGAAATATCAGAGAATAAAATAGTTTTATGTGCTAAATATAACCATAAAGCTATGAATGAACTTGCAAAAGATATCCAACATATTTTTTTGAGGTCATCCTACATTGGTCACATAATCTGTAAATCAAAAGAATGCTTACAACAACAACAACATCATCATCAAGCCATTGTCCCACTGCGTGGGGTCGGCTACATGAATCCTTTTTCGTCATTGTGTCATGTGAATCAAAAGAATGCTTGAAAGAAGAAATTTCATACATTAATTACAAAATGATAAGCATTAGGTTTCTCAATTGAAATCCAAGTACCATTAATAGTAAAAAAAATACACTTTTCCTTTTCCACCATAAAACACAGAGGACAAAAAACTTGTCGGTCATGTGAAATTCAAACCAAACACCCAAGCGTTGGACAACTTTTTGGTTCATGAATTAAGGACTTCCTCAAAAAAACATTGAAAATGTTACAATTTTCAATATTTCATAAGAAATATAGTTGTATGTAAATCCGCATGAAGCCTGAAACCAAAATAATGAGACAAAATTTGATGAACAAATAAATAATAAATTCTATTTTTCGAATCTTTACATGAGTCAAGCAGTATTAATCCGGCAACTATACATGCATTGAATTCTTCAAACTTTTAAGGAGACTACAACTAAATATCGTCTAAATGAAAACAATCTTATACCACCCATATGCACTAGCAACAAATACATAAAAGCACAAAAAGACATCCTAGTGGACATGTTTGATACCTCTACCATAAGTTCTTGAACTGCAGATTCTAGTCTTAGGAAATGTCTTAAATCCCTAGTATCAACCTTAATCAAGTTGGAATTAATTAATATCATCAAAGCTGAAGCACTCGTGGCATAATATCATATCATCAAAGCTGAAGCACTCGTGGCATAATATCTAACAGATGATCAAATTTATAAATTATTTTCTATCAGTTGTCGCATTAATTTCAATTTTTAGCTATTTTCTCCAAAATGGAATATCCCTCTAGCTATGATGCACCGACACTCTGTTTTAAGGGGTATGCAGTGTCGAACACATGTCGGACACGGACACGCGTCCGACATGGCGGGGACACGTGTCGAACATGTCATTGGTGTGTCCAATTTAAAAAAATTAAAAAAAAAATCAAACACAAGTGTCCGGTTTATCTTTTGTTTAAATTAAAAAAAATGAAAATCCTACTATTACCGCTGTTTCATAGAACCCTTCACGCTCGACCGACAGCCTTTACCCTAGTCCCGTAACCCATATCTGCGGTCTTCCGGAGCGAATGAGGTGAGCAACGACTGGAGCAATTTCCCGCGAGCAAGGAATCTTCCCTTCCGGCCGTAAGCAACGAATCTTCCTCCCATAAGCAATAAGTGCTTCATTTCTGCGCGCAGCTATTGCGAAGCCGGCGCCAAACCGACCGCAGTAATAGTAGCAAACCTGTAAGTTTATTTCACCATTCTTTTTCTTCAATTTGGCATTTATCTTCATTTATCAATGATTCCATGGATTTGTTCTTTTTTTTTTCCTAAATCAAACCCTAGCTTGTCATCCTACATTTTTCTATTTTATAAGTCTCTATAATTTTACAATAAATGTCATGTAACATTTGATTGTCATGTACAAGTAATTGATTTTTATCAACTCAATGAGCTCTATAACTTTCTGGATGAAAACATTTTCGATTTATACCATCCAGTTTACCAAAAATCCAAATAAAAACAAAAACTGAAATTTTAGTTAATCCAAAACAGAAATTGGTATTCCTCTCATGGCTTGATTCATCCTATATTTGAGTTTATATATAATCTTGTAATATTTAGTATTAAAAAAGAATAAATGAATGTTATTTTTTGGAATGAAGTTCTTATGACTTTGGCAAGAAGATGCACTTTCTTGTGCTTTGTGACCTAATTCATGACAAGAAGTTGTCCATGAAAAGAAGATTCAATGCTACAAATTTGTCATTTTCATCCTACATATTAAGTTAGTTGTATTGAAGAGAAAAAGATATTCAAGCCTTTTCCCTATCATAAATATTATGTTCTAAAAAAATATCAAATATAGAATAAGCCTTTTCCCTTCTTAAGATATTTTAAACAGTTTCCAAAAAATTAGCATTTTCAAATTTTGACCATACATGTGTGTACATTCAGCACATACTTTCTTGTATAGTAGCAAGAGTAACCTATGTTGTCACCCATATGTGAAATTCCGCTAGTGTAGGGAAAATATGTGAAACCTAAGACAAATACAAAGAAAAAAAAGACAAAAAGAAAAAGAAAATTAGCACACAAAAACATACAAAAATTTTAATTTTGTTTAATTAATTGATGGCAAGGTATTGTTATTGCTACTAGATTTTTCACTTTGTTTTGTTATTTAAATAATTTATTAAGCCTTTATTTATTCCATTTAACCAGTGTATTTAAAAGCAAAATGAGCTCCAATGCTGGTGGGAGTGGATTAGGCGAAGGTTCAAAAGAGCCATCTGTAGAAACTGATAAGTCATTATGGATTCATGTAACAAAGTTAGGAAAAACTTTTGGAGGAGGGAATATTTCATTCAAATGCAATTATTGTGATGACATCTACAAATGATCATATTCTAGGGTGAAAGCACATCTATTGAAGATTACTGGCCATGGAATTAAAATGTCCTAGGATTACTACGGCGCAGTTGATTGAATTGAACCGAGAAGTTGATGAAGCTGAATCTCGGATCAGAAGGACACTCCCTAAGGAGATATCTTTGCCATCTACTCAAGGTTCATCCCACACTTCTTCCTCATCCGTTAGAGTTGATCATTCTTTATCATTTAGAAGTGAAGGATTTGAATCGAAGAAAAGAAAAGGAGTTGTCCGTAGTCCTTTAGAGAAGGCTTTTAAATTGCAGCAGCGAGACGAATTGGATGGTGAAATAGCAATGATGTTTTTTTTCTGCGGGACTTCCCTTCAACCTTGCAAGAAATCCTCATTACAAAAATGCATTATGATCAAAATTATATTTTAAACAGTTGATCATTCTTTTTGCATGTAAGAATAACCTTGCAGGATATGCTCAACCTGGTTATAGTGCATTATGATCAAAATTATTGGAAAGGGAAAGAGCACATATTGAGACATTGCTTGAACCAACAAAAGGAATGTGGAAAGAAAAAAGGTGTTATTTTGGTGTGTGATGGTTGGACAGATCCTTAAAGAAGATCACTCATTAATTTCATGACCGTTACATAGAATTACCCTATGTTTATTAAAGTTGTTAATAGTGAAGGAGAATACAAAGATAAATATTTCATTATCAATTTGATAAAAGAGGTGATAGTCATGATTGGGACTTCAAATATTGTGTAGGTTATTACAGATGATGCACTGATATGTAGAGCTACAGGATTGTTAGTTGAGCAAACTTATCCCCATATATTTTGAACACCATGTGTTGTGCACACTTTAAATATTGCACTAAAAAATATTTGTGCAACAAAGAATACAGAGGCTAATGAAATCATATATGTTGAATGTCATTGGATAACAATAGTTGCAAGTGATGTTGTTCTGATAAAAAATTTTATTATGAATCATTCGATGAGACTTTCAATGTTTAATGATTTATCCCACTTAAGAATGTTAGCTGTTGCTAAAACTCGTTTTGCCTTTGTAATAATTAAGTTGAGAAGATTCAAACAAATTAAAAATGCTCTTCAATCTATGGTGATTAGTGATAAGTGGTCTTGCTATCGAGAAGATGATGTTGAGAAGGCAAGGTATGTTAAAAAAAAGATCTTAGATGATTTGTGGCGGGATAATGTAGATTATATTTTGGCTTTCACTGATCCCAATATGATATGTTAAGAGAGGCTAACACAGATAAATCATGCCTACATTTAATTTATGAGATGTGGGACTCTATGTTAGCAAATGTGAAAGAAATTATATACATACATGAAAGAAAGGCACGTGAAGAAGACATAAGTTTTTTTAGCATTCTCTATATCATTCTTGAGGATAGGTAGAGTAAAAGCAATACACCTCTACATTGTTTGGCTCATTCATTAAATCCAAGGTACATTTGTATAAATCTTTTAAATTAATTTAAATTTCTTCATAAATGAACATATAATTTTATACGCTTTGTATTATTTGAAGGTATTCAAGTAAAAAATGGCTTCAAGAAGACCCTCAACGTGTCTCACCACAAAAAGATTTGAAAGTTTTAATTATGAGAAAGATATGCTCGAAACAATATTTCTCAAATGAGGAGAGAAGAAAAATTAATATAGAACTTGTAAAATTCTTTGGATATTTGAGGATTTTGGCGATCAAGAATCTTTGGTGATAGATGGATGATGGATTCAAAAATGTGATGGTTGATTCATGGAGTTTCAACACCGTTTCTTCAAACCATAGCAATAAAACTTCTTGGTCAATTATCATCTTCTTCCTGTTGTGAGAGAAATTGTAGCACATACTCATTGTAAAACCCAAAAATGCCGTCTAAGACCTCGCACGCTTTTCGAAGCATCGCGACGAGGTTTAAGTGAAAAATTCGAGGTTGTCGGTTTTCGAAGGAATAAAATAACTCTACAACGGGCTGAAGATTTAGTTTATGTGCATATAAATCTTCGTCTTCTATCAAGTAAAACCCCATTTTATATGACAGGTAATAACAAGATGTGGCATGTTAATGGAGATGGATTCGAGTGCCTTGATGATATGGGATTATTGGAGGTTGCAAATCTTTCTCTAGATGAACCAGAGTTGGAAGCGATGATATTCAATGATGATGGTATTGAAGGCCAAAGACCATTGACCAACATCTGAATCTAATTCTATCATTCCCTCAATTTAGTTGGACCTTCATGTTATACTAAATGATTTTTTGCTTATATTTTTGTGGTTGTACTAGAAATTTGTACTAAACATCTTTATGTTATAAGCTAAACAAATTATTATGACTTTGCTTTATTATTGATTGTCATTTTTAATATAATGTTACCTTAATTTCTATATATTATATTAAAAAATTATTATGTCATGTCCACGCCGCACCTGTGTCCTATATTTTTAAAAAATGTCGTATCCCGTGTCCGTGTCGGTGCATCATAGCCCTCTACTGTTTACCACAAAAATTACAAAAACAATAATGCACAAGATCAATCGTACCCTTATCAAAGCTGAAATTTTTCTAATGCCTTATGATGCACTTTTTTTCTTGAAGAACTTAAAGCATAACTAGAGGCTCAAATATAATTAGAAGCAAATTAATTAATTAATTAATAATGCCACGGTGACAATAAATTTCCAAATGATTGCTAATATGCTGTTTTAGAATCTTTTGAAATGAATGGATTAGCTCCTATAGAAACTTCCTCAATCTAGAATTTATGTAAAGAACATGGCATGTCTACTACACAATAGAGAACTACAAATACCCTAATCTAAAGATAATAAAAGCAGCTCATTAAGGGGTTAATCGGTTTGGTGTATTTGAAAAGCCTGTAAACTAAATATGGTAATTTAACTGCATTTATTTTGAAGCAATTTTTAAGGAAATGACCTATAAATAAACTTTACCTCATGAAACTCGAATCAAACACAAAAGGCTACTTCTCAATTTTTCAGCTAGTCAAACAGCCATGAAGTAAACCAAGATCTCAAGCATAGCTTTTCTGCTATGGCATCCATTCATATGCATATCCCAAACCAACAGATATAAAAATAGCTCATTGTGATAAAAACAAATGCATGAAACTGCTCCATGAACCTGACGCTTATACTAAAACCTATGAGGAAGGAAAAAAATTAAAGAAGTGTACCCGGCAAGTTGCTTGAAAAATCCAGTAAAAATTACCGACCCTACAAACTTCCTATGTGATATGGTCAGCATTATTTATTTAACATACTAAGCATAGTATAGCATGAAAAAAACTGGAGAAAAAGATAGTACGCATACATTTGAAAACCGCATTGTGCAGACATACTTGCTTTTTATAAGAAATTTCATCAGCAGGATAGCTTTGTATATCAGCAAGATTCCTCATTACTCCCGCCATCAGCTCTGCTGAATGTCTCCCTAAAATAGAATTTTTAAAAAAATGGTATCAGTGCAAACATCAAACTTATAAATAACCTCAATTTAGAAGATGTGATGGTAGGGCTGCAAGCGAACCGAGCCGAGCTGAGCCATGGCAAAGGATGTTCGAGCTCAAACTACTTTAGCCAAAGCCTATTCAAACTCAGCTCGAGCTCGATTCAAGCTTTCATGAGAATGTTCAAGCTTAAATTTAGGCTTGCTCACGTTTGGTTCATTTATGTTTATCAAGCTGCTCATTTTATGCTTATCGAGTTAAATGAGCAGCTTATCAAGCAGCTCATTTTATACTTATCAATTATCATGCTTAAATATGAAGTTCTATGAAGACATCAAACGGAAATGAAAATTTTTGGAAGGAAACTATCTATTTGCTTAACAATTACCACAAATAATGATCAGCAAAGATTTAAAAAAAAAAAAATAAATATCTAAAGCTTAAACCCTAAAACCCACATGCTTCCAATACAGCTGCCGAAGGGACAAAAGACATGACTGTTTCTCACTTAATATCTTTGTTAGTAAGAGCTAGCTAGAATAAGTTGAGCAACTTCATGATGAAGAGTGATAAGCACTATGAACTATCTTCCTAAGTCCTAACTGATTTGAATCCAAAACTAAATTATCAAAATGGATATAAACTATTGGTTTTATATGACGCATCTCTCTGCTTGTTATACTGTTCTCACTCACAAACTACACTTACGTTGATCAAAGAGTAGTGACACTGACTAAAGAGAAACAATACCTAGTTGATCAAATGCAGCAAGATGACCTTAAAACCCACATCCCACACTGCATTGTACCTGAAATCAAGAAAGCCTTCTATAATAGCACATATCTTTTCAATGATTGTGGGACCAGACTTCCTTAATCCTCCTCCATGATTCAGGTTTATCTGTTCAATTCCTTGCTTGATCAAATTCTCATCAAGGCAAGAATATATTAAACTCTTCAGTGCCTCTGTCGCAGCAAAAATAGCTTCCTCATGCTCACCAGCCAAAATTTCTAACAATAAAGTCAACAACACAGCTCACCATTCTACCTGATTACATATCCAAAGGATAACTAAAAAAATCATGTGAAAAACTAACCTCCAAGGGAATTAAAGATTATTGGAAGCTTCACAACACACATATTCCATTTAAACTAAATACACTTTTGGTTCCCAAATTTAGCAGGCGTGCTACAGATGCCAAGCCATCAGCTGATTTCTCTTTTTTAGGTATAAAGTGCGCCAAGGAGCACAATAGTTCGAGTAAGAACTCAGGAGAAAAGTTTGAAGCTTGTCTAGAACATAAAGTCTGCAAAATCTCCATAATACTCCTAGTGACGCTTAATTGTCGCAAATCCAAGAAGTATTTGCAGTATTTCAGAATAATGTTTGTAAATTTTATTGAAATCAGGTCAATGCAGTCCTTTAAAGCATTTAAAATATATAGAACTTCTCTACCTCCTTTGGACTCTTCCCCGGCAGCTGAATTAGTAGGAGTATTGCAGAGGTAATCCCATCACTTGCTAATAACAATATTGTATATCCTTGAAAATTCTGTAAAACATCATGTAAGCAGATATAAGACTGTTTTCTCACCTACAAAGAACTCTTTGAAGCAAAACTAGCATGCCTACAAAATAACTGGAAGTCACTGTCAAATAGGCATAGGATGTAATGCAATAGATCACAGAAGTACATTTATTCTCCAATAATTGTTAGGAATATATAAGTCAATTGCATGAAAGGAAATCAATCAAAAATATTTTGAACATTATAAAGATATTAGTTAGAAAAAAAAATAGAAGGTTAAGCATTTACAAGAACTTACAATAAAAAAAGTCTTCACTTTGATTTTTTTTTTAAATCAAGCAATAAACCTAAAAAACAATTTGTGCAATGTTTCTATCGTGGCAACAATATATAATATCATATTTAAAATAAGTGGAAATTTATGTAAAACTCATGGTCTCCATTAGATGGCTGCAAAGAAGGACAAAAAAAATGGCCCCTGCATAATATGCCATCGGCTGAGGAGACCACGAGTTTTGCATAAATTTTCACTTATTTTAGATATGATGTTATATATTGTTGCCACGATAAAAACATTGCACATTTTTTTTTGTTGCTTGATTTAAGAAAAACCAAAGTGAAAACTTTTTTTTATTCTAATTTCTTGTAAATGCTTAACCTTCTATTTGTTTTTTTTTTAACTAATATCTTTATAATATTCGAAATATTTTTGATTGATTTCATTTTCATGCAATTGGCTTACACATTCCTAACCATTATTGGAGAATAAATGTACTTCCGTGATCTATTGCATTACACTCTATGCCTATTTGATAGTGGCTTCCAGTTATTTTGTAGGCATGCTAATATGCTTCAAGGAGTGTTTTGTAGGTGAGAAAACAATCTTATATTTGCTTACATGATGTTTTGCAAAATTTTCAAAGATCTACAGTATTGTTATTAGCAAGTGATGAGATTACCTCTGCAATCCTCCTACTAATTCAGCTGCCGGGGAAGAGTCCAAAAGAGCTAGAGAAGTTCTATATATTTTAAATGCTTTAAAGGACTACATTGACCTGATTTCAATAAAATATACAAACATTATTCTGAAATATTGCAAATACTTATTGGATATGCGACAATTAAGTGCCACTATGAGTATTATGGAGATTTTGCAGACTTTTTATTCCGAGTGAAAATTTATGTACCCAACATCGATTATTAGTTTTGGACTTTAAGATGAAGGGGCATAAAATAAAAAATAAAGTAAAGCGATATTCTAGGATTAGATGGGGGCATTTAAAGAATATTAACAAAAATATTTTTGAAAGTAAGATTTTAGATCGTAAGATTTTATCTGTGCATGAGGATACTAATGTTATGTGGGAAAAAGTGGCTAGTGATATTAAGAATATTGCAAAATATGTACTTGGAGTATCAAAGAGAAAAGCTCATAATAGTAAAAATAGTTTGTGGTGGAATCTAAATGTGCAAGAAAATATTAAAAATAAGAAGTTTTGTTACAAAAATTGGTTTAATTGTAAAAATTATGATAATTGAGAAAGATATAAAGAGACTCGTAATAAATCTAAAAAAGTAATATGTGATGTAAAGATCTTAGGTTTTAGTGATTTATATAATAGATTAGATACTGAGGGAGAAAGATATATGTATAAGTTAGCCAAATAAAGAGATAGGAGTAGTAATGATTTAATTCAAGTGAAGTGTATTAAGTATGAAGATCAAAAAATATTTTTCTTGGAAGATGATATTCAACAAAGGTGGATGAGATATTTTGCTAAACTTTTTAATGAAAATTGTGAAAATAAAATTGACTATAGTGACCTTAGCATCCTAAATGAAAATACAATTTTTTATTTTTATTGGCGTATTAATAAAACCGAAGTTAGAGAAGCTTTAAACAAAATGAAGGGTGGAAAAGCTATTGGACCTGATGATATTCCAATAGAAGTGTGGAACTGCTTAGGAGATGAAGGAATTACTTGCTTGCTAAACTTTTTAATACTACTTTGAAGACTAAAAAGATGTTAGATGAGTGGAGAATGAGTGTGTTAATTCCTAAAAAAAATGAGTGTGTTAATTCTAGGGGTGTCAATTTTTGACACGACCCGAAGCCCAACCCAGATCCGAGCTGGAAAAATCCGGGTTCGGGTCAACCCGTTTGCGAAACGGGTCTGGTTTGGGTTCGAATTTTTGACCTGTTTGAAAAAACGGGCCGGGTTCAGGTAGACCCGACAACCCAAGATAACCCGAATTGCTCTGCCAATTTTTTTTTCGCCTCGGGTGAACCAACAGTGCACCGCGCCGGATTTGTCTGCGCCTCAACGGCTCAGTCGCTCAACGAGATTGGACTCGACAGGCATCACTCGAGACTCGCGTCAACGTCAACACTGCGCCGTTTGGACTCCGGACTACAGCAATCCCGCCGGCCAAATTGGGCGCGCTGTGACGCTGCCTTGAGCAGTCGAGCCCTAGACTACACGTCTTGACCCAATCTGGCACGCTCTCCTCGATCCAATCCAGCCGCACGACTGCACCAGGCACCTTGAGGGATCGACCTGGCAGCCCGCCGCCTCGCCTAATCTGGCACGCTCGTCCGTTGTTTATCAAACCAGAATTTTAAAAAAATATAGCGGGTTTCCGAGTCATGTCGGGTCAACCCGTAACCCGCGCGGGTCGGGTCCGAGTTGACAATCCTGACTCGTTTATGAAATCGGGTCGGGTTAGGGTCAACCCATTTACAGCCGGGTCAAGTCAGGTTCGACCCGAACCCGACCCGTTGACCCGAATTGACACCCCTAGTTAATTCCTATTTTTAAGAATAAAGGCGATGCACAAGATTGTGCGAATTATAGAGGAATTAAGTTAATGTGTCATACTTTAAAACTATGGGAGCGAGTTATGGAGCATAGGTTGTAGCGTGATACTAATGTTTCTGAAAATCAATTTGGATTCATGCTGGGTAGGTCGACTATGGAAGTCATACATTTATTAAAAGATTTGATGGAGAAATATAGAGAAAATAAGGAGGATTTACATATGATATTTATTGATTTAGAAAAAGCATATAATAAAGTTCCAAGAGAAGTGCTATGGAGAGTTCTTGAGAAGAAAGGAGTTAATAATGCTTATATTCAAATCGGGCTTGTTGTGTGATAGAAAAGTACCCCTCAAACTTAAGGGAAAATTCTATAAGATGGTAGTGAGGTCTGCAATGATTTATGGTGTTGAATGTTGGCCATTAAAAGAGAAGCATAATACTAAGTTAAGTGTGGCAGAGATGAGGATGCTCAAGTGGATGAGTGGCTTTACCCTTAGAGATAGGATACGAAATGAGCATATACGTGAAAAGGTTGGAGTAGCTCCAGTAGAAAATAAGATTAAAGAGAGTCGTCTTAGATGGTTTGGTCACATAAAACGGCGGCCTTCCAATGACCCGATTAGGAGAGTAGAGTTATTAGATTTGACCTATGTTAAGAGAGGTAGACGCAAACCTAAAAAGACTTGGTTATAAAATATTAGGAATGACCTTTTTTTATTAGATTTAAACGAGAATTTGACCTTTAATAGGACACAATGGAGAAAAAGGATTCATGTAGCCGACCCCACGTAGTGAGATAAAGGCTTGATGTTGTTGTTGTTGTTGTTCTTTGCAGCCTTCTGTTCTGAGTTCTCCTAGATGAGAGGCGCTCTCTTGTAATTGCTAGCTATGACTTCCTGCTATGAGATTTCCTTGCTATTGTGACTTGCGGATTTCTTTGACAATGAATTTCTGCCGACATTTTTGGTTCTCTCAGCTGCTATTTTTTGGGAGGGCTACCTATGCAGGATTTCAAAGACTTGTCCTTTTGGAATAAGCCTACGAACACAACTTTTAATTATTTTATTATTTAGAAATTGAGAGTGTTTGTGATTATAGATATGAGTTGTCTAGGGCATGTTAAAAAATATTCTATGATGATTTCTAATTTGATTCAATAGAACTTTGGTTGGATAAAATTCGTTCTAGCACTTTCAAATTTCAAGGGATGTCATATCTCTGTACTGGCATAATTCCTAGGTCTTTTATTTGGTGATTTCTTTTCTTTCTCAACCTAATTCTTGGACATCTAGTAATCAGTCAAATCATGCAACTTAGCTTGATCAAATTTGGCACAACCTGATCTTCGAGTGTTGCATGACTTTCAATGAACATATGATTTTTTTAAAATCCATCATTTCACAATAAGATTCTTAAAAGAGCATTCCTTTTTTAAGAATTTGATCTATTTTTAGTCTTAACCTAAAATGACAAACATTTTTCTAAATTAGAAATGACCCAGTATACATAATTACCTTATCCTAAATCTGCATTAGGAAACCCTAGACACTAGGATATTATGCACCATTTTTGGTGTCAAAGCTTAAAGTTGTCTTTACTGTTAACTAGAAGTAAAACATAATAATCGAGTCAACAAACAAAACACCAAAAGATGCGGAACAAAACTGTTAAAATATGCTTCTAAACAACTACAACATGGCTAATATGATATTCAAAATTATATACCTACATTTAACATGAAATATAATCTTAGAGAATTTTTTAAAAACATGGAATACTTTTTATAAAATATATAATGTCTAATTCATAAGTAGTTTAATTGGTTAAAAATGTTAGTATGATTTTATATCTCTAATTATTAGTGTTTGCTTGTCATTTGGTTTGTAAATAAACCACCAGAAATTGGTTATTGAAAGTTGATAAGTTACTCTAATTTTTGTTTTAACATCATATAGCTTTCGTGTTGCATCAAGAATCAATTTTTCATCTACCCAAGGGTGTTATATTGTAATCAAAAGATTTGTAATCAATTATAATAAAATTTTCTCTTTATTTCCCTCTCGCTCTCTTCCACTTTATGTTTACCCATAAGCTTATCTGGTATCAAAGTACGCAAATATATTACAATTTTTCTATGATCCCTTGCAGTTGTCTTGAAATCACAAGAGATTAATCCGAAAATGATGTAGTGTTATGATCCCTATTTCATCTTGAAACCACATAAGGATAATCATAGTAATGGGGATTGCATTAGTGAAATTGGTTCTAAAGTGTTGTTCAAAAACATGAATCCTAAAAAAGAACAAGGCTAATTGGAATAAAGAAACCAAATTTCAATTGAAACTTTAAATCAAGGAGTGTTGAAAGGTATTCCTCTTTCATCTTTCTTGCTCTTGTAGTTGCTATTAGAGCACCCAAAATAAAAAGCTAAAGATGAGATTGATAAGATCGAAGATCCGAGAAGTTCACATGGAAAAATGACTTCAATATTTTAAGATTAAAAATTAAGGCATTGTTTATACATCAAGTTTTGGATGTGACAATGTCAGAAGAAGTGTTGCAAAAGATAGAAGCAAAAAACCACGTAGATATTGTTAGACAAGGCTTGCGATGCAATCCTCTTGAGTAATGGAGACGAAGTTCAAAGAGAGACTGCTAAGGAGTTGTCCATTAACATTCGGAGGAAACTTGAATCCTTGTACTTTAAAAGGTCCCTTGAAAATCAGTTATGCGTTAAAATGACATTACACGACTAACAAATGGAAGAATCTAAATCACTCAAGAAGCATTTGGATGATTTTAGTAAGGCCATAATGGATTTTAAGATCATTGATTATAAAATCGCGGATGAAGATCTTGTCATGATCCTCTTAAGCCCTTTGCCTACAAGATATAAACATTTTGTAAATACTAAGTTATATGGTTAAACCACTTTTACTATGCAAGAAGTGAAATCTATCCTAAATTCAAGAAGTGAAATCTATCCTAAATCCAAAGAATTACTGAAAAATCAATGGAAAATGTTGGTAATACTATTATGGCTCATGGAAAAATGTGATTTCAACAACAAGCATTAATTAATTTCCAAGTTAAAGTTCAAGAAAACATATGCTTCATTTCTTACAAGGAAGCTCAATTGAAGATGTGCAGTGAAAGCAAATGAAGATGCCTAAAGAAGAAAAACAATCAGACAGCTTGTGATTGTTGAGGGATATTAAAGTGCAGAGGATGGATTCTTGATTTTGGATGCGGTGCTCTTTTCACATGTGCCCAAATTACCTTGGTTTGCATCAAGACAAGATTTGGATGTCAACATGGTGATGCATGGAAACAACAAGACCTGCAAAATCATGGGGATTGACAAGATAAGAATCAAGGTGTTGGATGGCACTCAATGGAAACTACAAGAACTGAGGTATGTACCTGAGCTCAAGAGAAACAAAAAATTCACTAAGAATCCTAAACAAACGCAATAATGAATACAAGAGTGAAGGTGGAAGCTTAAGAGCATACAAAGGCTCATTTCTTGCCATGAATAGAATCTTGAATGGTGGATTGTGTTTCTTGATTGAAAGACCAATCATTGAAGTATCAGTTAATGCAACTGTAAACTCAACAAATGCAACCCAATTAACAAATAATAGACTTGACCGCTAAGTCAAAGAGGAATTAAAGAACTTGAGTCATAAGGTTTGGAATGTATGGACAAGATAAAGAACCTTGACTTTTGTGAGCATTATGTTATAGGGATTACATAAGTTAAAGAAACTCATATTCACACTTGAAGTGCACAGAACAAATGGCGTTCTTACATTCATTCAGACCATCAGCGGCCTTCTCAAACAAGCTCACATAGTAATGTAAGATATTATCTTTCTTTAATTGATGATAATTCAATAAAGATATGCGTACATTTTTTTAAACACAAAAATGAGGCATTCCAAAAAAAATTCAAGGAACGTAAACAACTTGTTGAAAGTTAAATTTGTAAAAAAGTTAAAGGACTAGCAATGGGCTTGATTTTTGTGCTAATGAATTCACAAAATTCTACAAAGAAAAGAGGATATTAAGGCATAACACAGTGAAGATTACTCCATAAGAAAAAGGATCATCAGAGAAGTTCAACAAGATGATTCTTGAAAAGGTAAGATGCATGCTAAGTAATACAAGATTGATTAAAAGCTTTTGCGCTGAAGAGGTTTAGCATTACAATTTATTTGATAAACAGATACTCATCCTCAACCATTGGCTTCAATACACCCAAAGAAGCTTGAAGTGGGAGACCAGCTAATTACTCTTTCTTAATGGTCATTGGATGTGGACCTTAGGATCACATTGATACATGAGCAATAAAAAGCATTTTTATATGCACTTTCATTTGTGAGCCACATGCAATGAAAAGCATTTTCATTGACTATCCTCAATGAATTAAAGGGTATAAGTTACAGTGCTTGAAATCATTATTGACAAAATTTATAATAGGGATATGTATTTATCGAACGGTGAATGGCTAAAATTATTTCATTGAATAAAGCAAAGACAAGTAAATTGATATAAAAGGTTAATGAAGCTTGAGGTGAAGCAACCAAGCAAAAGAGCTAGTTGAATCACATTTTGAAGAATTTGGTTAACAAACTATTGCATAAAGGCTGAGAATTTTTGGCATAGCAAGATGCAAACTTCGACATGCTATCAAGGCCACAAAGTTATGGATAGGTCAATCTCATAACATATAGTTCTGTTATAAATTTGATAAATGAAGATGAAAAAATGAAACAAAAAAGTCATGAATGAATATTAAAGAAGTCGATGGCAACAAATTATGCAAAAAATAATAATGTTGACAGTTGACACTAAAGTAAAACAACACTTGAAATGGAGAAACAAAAGCACAAAATGATAATTAGTTGCAATTGATTGTTTAGAAAGGAGAAGGGTGCTGCTGAATTTGAAAGAGTTAGATTCAAAACAAGATCTCCTATGAGAAATAACGCTC